GCTGCCAGTGGAGCATTGTGGTGAATATACGAGCTGCAGGTAAACCTTTTCCGAGTTTTCACTAAATTTACGAAGAAGTATAAACAAGAAAAAAGTTAATGATTGTTGACTTGTGCATTTTTGGGTAGCAAAATTATTTCCTTCTGTTGGAAAATTATCCTCATTTGAACGTTAATGGCAGGCAGAACTTTGGTGTTGTTGGGTTGATGATGACAGACTAGAGACAGAGATCTTCACTTTCATGAGTTCAATTGATCTAATGTGGATGGCGTTTATGTATGTCTCGACAAGTCAACAATTGGACTTACTACAAACACATGAGATGTTAGCTAAATGGTACATTCATTTATTCCTTGTTCAGGATTTGTGTTTACGCATTGGATCCTTACTGTGGATGGAGTAACAATAAATGCACAACGTTTGATAAAAAGAGAGGAAGGTACTCAAAAATCATCAAACCAAGGAATCGGATGTCAACTATGATCATTGTTTTCTTTTTCCACTTCTCGTTTCCATTCCTAATGGGTACGTGTCCTTTGCCTTTAATAGTGGCTGGTTACAAGATATAGTTTACGGTAATGTCTCCAGAGTTTGTCCGCAAGGTAAGAGTGATTACGACGAACAGAAACATTGAAGTCATTCAGCACCTTGATCACCCAAAAAATAAATGTTGACAAAATTGATCGAGGACGTGTAAGAAGAATGGGAATTTCTAGTAGAGAAAGACTGGCTTTGCTCAATTTAAGGTGGTCTACTACATTTTTACTCTGATTAATCGATACTACTGAAGTTTTTGTGTTTGCTAAGGACTCAAACCTTAGCTGTTTTAAGTAGGTAAAAGAGATCTAGTGAGAGGCTGAAAACCTTTTAACTTGATTCACCGAATCTCTGAGATACTATATTTTTAACCTAACAAAAAGTCTGTCTTGATTAGGTTAACACTTCGGTACCGAATCAGTGAGACAGAAACACCTTACAAATTTTCGAGCCATTCAAAGTGTTGAAGACAGCACTGGCCTAGATTACGAGTAGTCCCTCCTTTCCTTTATGACGAATACGGTCGCATGAGTGAGAGTGAGGTGCTTGAAAAGAGGGGAATCTCTTCTTTTCGAGCGCCTCACTCCCATAGGTTTCCGCGGCACACAAACATTAACTTTTTTTTTTCACTAATCCTTTTTTAACTCGCACGGCAGTATTCGCTGAAAAAGAAGGACTGCTCATAGTCTAACGTTAAAGAAAAGGACATCCTAGTGATGTAAGAACAGATTTCCCTGATGTTATTATTCCTTTTGGATTGTAATGGCTCTTGACACACTCCAATTTCTCCTTATATTAGAAAGTCCTGTGTGTTCATTGACGTCTTCTCTGGACCAAAATGGACATGTTAATAGTTTGATATGTCAAGGAGATGGAGTCCCGCTTCCTAAAGTGATCAGATGGGAAAAAGATTCCAAGCCTCTTCCGGCTCATTCAGACTTCCGAATAAACTCTGGACTGACGAGTCATCAGGGAAGGTTGGACATAAACAATTTCGGGCTCAAGAACCTTGGCAATTATCATTGTTTTGTGTCTAATGAAGTGGGGTCGTCTTCATGTGTTATAAATCTTTCAGGTAACTCTATGAAAGGTTCCACAATTTAATTTGCAAAATACTAGGAGGGCAATACTAGTACTCCAAATCTTAACCAAGCCTTGCAACACGAATTCCTATTTCGACTTCTTGGGAATTACGTGATAAAGTATAGCGTCGTATCAATCATATACTTAAGTTTGTTATGTAGAACCAGCAGAGGAAGGAACAACAGATACAGCAATAGGTACAGCTGCAGAAGGAGTACAAACCATTAACATCAATTGCGTCAGGGACAGCGGTTTAAGCTTAATGGGGAGCAGTTGCTACTGCAAACAATAACTATTATTTAAACTGAATATTGTTGAGTGTATATTTTTTCTTGCCTTTTCGTCAGGTTCATTGCCTGTCACCACATATTTTCTGGCGAAAATGAGAAATACGTCTCTGTTTTTGTGTAATGCTAGTGGGTTGCCTAGCCCACGTATAACTATCTACAAGGTGACCGGGAACACGAAACGCGTTGTTCCAGCACGCCAAACCACCATCACTGATGATGGAGGCCAAAGGTCTTATTACTGCGTGGCACAGAATTACTTTGGAGTATCATTTAGCAAACCGATTTACATTAATGGTACGTCTTCAAATAGAATAAGGAATATTTGTGTTACACGTCATAAAAATGGTATGAAAAGGAAAAAACGTGAAAGTATGTAGCAAAAATTTTGATTCATTTATAAATGGTGTACTTCTATATTGATCTAGCTTGATTTTTTTTTCTGTTGGCTGAGTGTATGACGTGACGTATTTACGACTTACTATATCTCTCGGTTACTACTCATGCTATAATTAGTCGGTTTAGTAGGCCGTACACAATTACACGGCCGGCAAAATTTGAAGTTGTTTTTGTTGCGACACAAAACTAATGAGCCAATGGCATTCTTTTTCGGTTTCATCTCCCTTATATGTGTTTAAGACAAATGAAAAACGATTTCGACTTGTTTTGCTTTCGAAGTGCATTAGTCATTTGGAGTCATTCTACTTCACTAGAGCGACGAGAAATGTTCAGTACAGACCTCGAACTCGGTTAGGAAAAAGTATTAGTTTGATTGACGTATTTTAACAGGATTAGTCAAAAAATGAAGTGCTAGTTATTTCTGAAGAACCCTGTCTACAGCTAATAATATAGGCCTTATAAGTTATTTACTTGTTTATTTTTTATGCATACATTTTTGTGTCTAGTGAGTAGCAACTGAACACCTTGCAAGAGCGGTAAAGATTTAGTAGGTGCTTCATGTAGGACAAAAAATGACGTAATATGTTATGGTCTCTGTGAAGTTTAGCATACGTGACAGCTACATGAAGTGATATTTCGTCATAGGATCTGCCGTGAGAAGTCGGAAATCGCCATTTGGTGAACAAGACTCCTTGAGTAAACAGAGGGATATTCGGGATCAAGTGCATTCGAAAAAGCAAACGTTATTAGAAAGCTTATCATCGTAAAAAACCACGCGTTTTGAGGATCGTCGTGTCTTAAGAAGAGCCTGAGGTGGCGAAGCTAGGTTATTTTGGATAGTAAACCAGTCTTTTATAAGTTATCGATACAGAATAGACTTCCGATCATACGCGCTTTTCACGCATGCTTTTCACTTTTAAAATTGACCTTTGGTACTTTGTGCATCGTCACTCTTATCTTTTGATCGACGCGCGGTCAGCACTATACGACCCCATATGGGCAGTGCATGAGTTAACAAATTTTACGACTTTGTTTCTTTCACGAGGATCCACTTTTCAGCTACTAAAAGCACTGCATAATTTGTATATTCCTTTTGTTTTAATTTAGGATATTTTGAGTTCTTTTGGTGTCCAATAATGACTAATATGAACGTTGTCGCGAATTGTACCCAAAATGTATCTATCGTTGTTTTGCAGAATTAAATATTTATGGAAATCCTCGTGTTGAAATATTTCCGTTTTTTTCGTTCCCATAAACTGATCTCATATTAAAATTGTACTTGCTATTGCTTAAAAATGTGCAAAATTCAGTTTTCCGTTAGTCATAGTTTGATCAATTGAAAAACTCTCCCGAGGCTCTGTTTGCTTAGAAAACGTGGAGCTCATAGTGTGAGTGTTACATAGTTAATCCAAAAAAGAGATCCTGAAAACTACTGCACTTTGGTACACCTATGCACTCATCTCATTTTTGTACTAGACACACGTACACAATGCAAACCTATTTTTAGGAACTGGTCTGGTCCACAAAACACTGATTCTCATTTTGCAACCTCTCAAGCTAAGGCATACGTGCTGCTTAAATTGGTTTGCTCTCTTGAGAGCGTTACGAAGTCTTTCAGAAAGGTGCCGCTTTCCACTACTAGGCCGCCATCTTAAATTTGTAACATGATAGTGAGGCACTGACGTCTCATTAGACGAAAGCTAATTACCCATAGCCGTCGTTATACTTTAAACCACATGCCCTGGCCCCCCTTGTGACTAAAGGACAAATTTTGAAACCACTGTAACTCGACCTTGCGAGGAATCACATTCTGCAGCGTCTTAATCGCCCACACAACGCATGATGGAGTAATCTTCCTATTTCTTTTTCTTAACTTTTTGTACGTCTGCTAAAGAAATCGCCAAATCGTGTACTTCGCATTTAAGAGCATTTTGCCGCAGTATTTTCACTTGGTGTGGTCAAAAACTAATTTTTATTTTTTGGCTTTCCATACTTTGATTTGCTTTCTTTTAGAGATTTGAAATTCTTAGACGTAATTGCTGTTCATCTGGAGCTCGAAAATGTTTATCTTGTTTAAAAAAAACGTGAGAAAAACTTTTTTTCTGCGACAAGCACACCTTTGAAGATGTAGTGTGTGACACAATTTTCTCGACTTGATTTGTTACCATGTTGTTTTAATTGTTGGGTTATGCAGCGCTCTTTACGACCAACTTCAGAAGTGTTTACTAACTTTACACCTATTACATGTTGCTTTAACTGTTGAGACTAAGATAAAGATGAAACAGGATACTACGTAAATGAATGGTTAATTGTTTGTCTCTCGATCTAAGAGTCAGGCTAAGCAATCGTGTATTGACTGCGACGTTTCGACGTCTTACTGCTAGTTACCGTCAGGCGACGACGTGGAAAGTTTAGGTGTCGCTATTTATAGCACCTTGGTGTTTTGTGGTGCGCTGTCATTGGTACATTTTTTCAGTTTTCGATGCATAGATCGTGAGACATACGATTAAACGTCAATTTATCTAAAAAACCGCAATGAACAACAACAGTTTCTATAACAGGATACAACGTTTACTCAAAATGGTGTTAGGTACTTTGATTACACATTATGAGCAGTTTGAAAGACTAAAAAAAACGCTATTTGAATCTTGACAGATAAACCAGTCAAAGCTGAAATGAAGCTTACAAATGAGGAGTGGAGTTTAGAACTTTCTGAGAGAACTTCAGAAAGATATAAAAACCTGGCAGGTCAAGTTAGAACTGCGGTTTGTATTCCAGAATATTTTCATTGGCTTGCTTTTGTAACGTTACTTTCTTAATCTGATCTCTTGTTTCAATTAATTATTTTAGGTACAGGAAATCTATAATAAAAGTCCTGCCTTTGTGAGTGTGAAGGATATTTCATTTAGGTAATGTCAATGTCATTATTTGGTAGATCTATTTAAGGAAACAATAGAGGGGAAGAGTCTGTATTATTGGATAGTTCATCACAGCAATATTCTGTTTATGTATGCAACAAGATTTAGAGTGCAATTTGGTGTTAATAAGCACGAGTAAATTTTTCGAAGACGACAACGTATACGAGTTGTGTGCTTGGTTGCCAAGCCTTTGAACAAGAGTGAGGCGAAGGTTGACCTTGTTATGATACAAACCTTGCTGCTTTTCAAATGCAAATTACTTTTTTATCATGCTTACTAGATACTGGTCAGCCTAACTCCAATCAAAGGCTTGGCAACTAAGTACAAAACTGTAAAATGGCCAATTGCATGAGCCCGTAGGGCAAGGGCGATTCGTAGTCTTTTTAAAATTTGTAAGTGTTTATAACATGAAATTGTAAGAAAAATTATTTATTACTTTATTATTTATTACTTGTACATTGTTTTTCGCATCTGGGATGACACTGTGTATGATACAGTTGCATCAAATGGCTGACTGATCGATCTCAAATGATGTATCTTGTTATCATGTTTTTGAATCAGGAGAATTTCCTGTATTTCGTCAGTGTATATAGAAATTATTACAGATGCATCTGAAGTCACCATATGGCTTGGGCCTGTGGCTGACACAACGTACGCTCTGATCGGCCAAGAGTGAGACGCTCTACAAAATCTGTGAAATTGTCACTTTCGATCACTGTGCTTTCATGCAGTTTAGCCAGAGATCATTTTTTTTTTGCTTATGGCGACATTTTAAAGAGAATTCGAGATCAATCAAAAAAATTTTTAAAACAAGTGTCCCAAACCCTTTCCGTGGGAAATAAAAGAAAACAGTTTTTGGTTATAAGGTCCTGGGAATGGCTTTTAGGGAGAATAAAACTTGCGGATTTATGACCGGCATAAGGAGGAGGGTGGAGGAGGGGGAAACGGAGATTTCACGTATTCCCTATTGTCTATTGCGTGTCTGTATTCGTTTACCAAGACTAGCACAGATTCATAGGTTTCTACCTCTGTAGTTGTACTTTTAAGTAAAAAAAAGAAGTATAAAGAAAACAGTAGAGAATTTTCCTGTAGTGAAGGACACGTTTTTTGTGATATACGTAGGAGAGGAAGTGTGCTCTGTCAAATGACGATAAATTTTGCTGCTGAAGCTTCGAAAACAAGTCATGACTTGTTGAAGGATTTGCAAGCGAGGGTGTCTTCCGGACAAGTGGGGAACCTGAAGGTGGATGCAACACATATACTCAGTATGGAAAGCGTCCCAAGTAAGTTTTTGTTGCTGGCTCATTGCGGCGAATGTGATATGCTTTTTTTTCAACGCACAGCTAAAACTAGCTGGTGGTCACAAATACCAATGTCTGGACATCGATCTTTACAGTCCGATCCAGTTTGTAGATCCATACATTATCAAGGCATAATGTACTGATGGGACATGTACCAGACAATACAGGTTGAGTAAACTTGGAATTTCTCAACTCTTTGACCAGTTGAGGGTCATTAAAATTTCTCTGGAGGTCAATCCAAGTTCATTTCTTCCAGCAGAATAGTCTCCACGTTCAATAACGAAGCATGTTCAGTATTTTCGGCGAGCTTACAGTCGTATTCGGCCTTTACATTTGGGGAAAGATAAACATCTGTCATAAGTAGTGGTCTCTTGGATTTGAAGGGATAGACCTCGAGTCATGGGACTTCCAATACAAGGTCTTCGAAGTCGAGACGACATGGGTGTTTAACTCGGTTGTTTTGTGTTAAGTGATCCTTCTGGTCGAGCTTGTTTGACGATCTTTCCTTTGTAGGTCAAAACTGGAAATATTACTCAATTCTCAGGTGAACCACTTGAGAAAAATGTTTCTGTAGTACTAGGATGTCAACGGTTTTTGAACCGTCTGAATTCAATATGCAAATTTAATTCTCTTTAATCATACTCATATGATAAACAAGTACGTTTACCAATAATGGGGCCTATAATCAACCTCGCACCCTAAGGCTGAATTAAGTGCATGCAAATACAATGTATTTATATCAATATATATAATATGAGACAAAAAATTAAAATGTTTTCAATAGTTATGGTGGTATCGATTTAAAGTATGACCAAAAAAAGGTAAAAATATGTGGCATCTGATTGACCCTTTAACTCCCATGAATAGGCAAGAGAGAACTTTTCCTCACAGTATCCTTCCAATATCAAGTACACCAGTGATAAGAATAAAGAAAAATATCATTTAGAGGATTATTAGTTCATCCAATACCAAATTCTCCGAACTAAAATCATAAGAATTGTATAGCATACAGTAGGGAAAATTACTGATGAGATCTTGAGAAAGAATGGGTTAAAAACTAATGGTTATCGGTGAGATTTTACCTGGACGCAGTGATGATTGGTAATGGTTAGACTAAGTGGAGTCTTATTGGGTCTGTAAGTGATTGATTGACAAAATTGGACGACCGCTTACCAGGAGTCTGATTTTCTTTATTGATTAGAAGCATGATTACAAACATAGTGTAAACTATTACAAAATTCTCAAACGTGATCGGTCATCACCAGCTCGATTTTAGCACTAATGGGACAGTGTACGCGTCATGCTTGTAATTGGACAGTGAAATAGGACAGTTAAAGGGACAATTAACATGTCATGCCTGTATTAGTGGACAGAACGCGTCACGTGTGCGCGTTGTTGTCTTGCATTTCGCCGAGTTAACTGTTGTTTTATGAAAACGTATAACCGATGTCTAGTTTCTTTAAAAAATTGTCATAATTTTGATTAATTGGTAACAGGACTTTCGTGACGTCCAATTCTGTCTATAATCAAACTCGTAATTAACAAATCAGACTCTCGCTTCGCAGTTGTCCGATTTTTTTTAATCACAGAAGTATTTAGACAATAGAGACAATAGATCACAAAATACCCTTGTGCGTTTAGGTAAATTGTCTTTTTCCTCTTGAAGTAAGTGATGCGATATTTTCATTCTTTTGAAAGTTATGAAAACATTAGGATAACGGACGACCTACCCAGCTAAAAAAATACCTCTTGCATGCGTAGCATGCAAGAGGTATATTGCCTCAAACCCGCGGGTATATCTCTAGCTTCCATCCACCAACTTCCTAAAAACAACGCAAATTCATGTGTTTGCTCAATTGCGCTCGTTTTTGCATGATTCTTAAAAATTGACCAAGATCTCCTTTTGACCGTTCAAACTTCGTTCGTTTATCTTCTACGTTGAGGATTTTAGGTTTTCACAGCAACTAAATGGAGAATAGATGCCGAGTTATCCTAAAACGTTGCGTAAACGTGATCGGTCGTAACGCTTGCGCGCTTAAGTGACTTCCAAAGTAGACAAAGGTGATCGGAAGGCGCCTTCTCGATAATATACGTTGAAATATCAGGTCATGAACTACGCACAGTGTGGAGAAGATCAAAATGAAAGAAAATTTGGCACTCTGGTTATAACAGACATGTCGCGTTGCTTAAAAGGGCACAAAAACAAGTTGAAATAGGTTTTAGTTCACGGAACCCGATGAACTGAAGGAGATCTTGGTCAATTTTAAGAATCATGAAAATGATCTTTGACACGAGCGCAATTGAGCAAACACATGGATTTGCGTTGTTTTTAAGAAGTTGGTGGATGGAAGCTAGAGATATACCCGCGAGTTTGAGGCAATCCGTGACCTCATCGGTGTATAAAGTATGCACTGATGTGCTTTTTCAGCCCGATTAACGCCTGCATTTGAGAATTCTTTCGTACAAAGTAGTGAATTTTTGATATGCAAATGAGGGTCCAAGAAAAGAGTCTCCTCTGATCACGCTGGTATGAAAAATATTTCAGCTGAAGTTTCCATATTTTGTCTGTGAACTAAATACATCTTGTAACTTGTGGCAAGATAGAATTCCGTGAGCTAAATTGTTGCAGTCGCTGCGCGCTGGACAAAATCTTACACTTTCGATCGCTGTTCACAAGGTTGGTCTGGCCAAAAATTATTTTTGACTTGTGACGACGCAAAAAAAGAGAATTGGAGAACAACTAAACTATTTTTGAAACATGTGTCCTAAACCCTTTCCATGGGCAAAAAATAAAAGAAAACTTTTTTCCGACGGGAAGTCGAGGGGACCGCTCTAAGCGTGAGTGGCACTTAAGTTCTGTTTTCCACCAACCCTCTGTATTGTTTACCTGCTAAATGAAAACGTTTTCTTTCAGAACCTACTCCAGCAACAGATGGGACAGGTAAATACTACTAAGGTAGTTTGGTGGTTTACTATAACGCTTACATTGTCACCTCACTCTTTGAATCTTACTTCCCGCGTTCAAGAAACTTTCGTGCAACCCTGACGACTAACGTGTAGGTCAAGACAAAAGAGACACTTGTGAAAGGTCTCCGATTAGTGGATTCGTCCCATTATGGTTCCTCCAACTGTAATGATTCGAGTTAGAGCCCGGGGCGCTTATTTGCATTTGGTACCTCAAGGGAGCTCGCTGGGGACAGCGCATATTTCTTTTTTGAGAAACAGCAGATTGCGAAACAAAGCTTTGATGTTTATTTGCATAGGATAAAAAAAAAGGAAAATGGACTCGTTATCCCTGGATCCTTCCTAGCTAGAACGACTAGCCAAGCAATCGTCGCAAATATTTAAGACGGCTTCTTTCGTTTGAAGGAACAGTGCACTCATGGGAGACTAAGACCGCTGTTTTTGTCATGAGACTTTAAGTGAGCAGTTAAAAGAAGATTGATAACGGTTTATCTCAATGTAAATGTACTCTAAAAGTACTAGTACTAAAACTGAATAGTGGCGTTGGAATAGGAGCGATTATTGGTATGGAGGCGCTTATTGGAATGAGGGTGCTTACCCCATAGAGGTTCTTATTTGAATAGGGGCACAAATTTGAGGGGGGCACTTATTTAAGAGGGGGCGCTTATTGGAAAGAGGGTGCCAAATCAAATCTTTACGGTAATTGCAAATTGATTCATTGAAGAGGCAATGTGGATTCAGTTGGTTGAGTTTTTTAACTTCACATTTTCTTCTTAGATTCGGATGACAAAGGCTTGCTGGCTGTGGCTGTCATGACGGCAGTGTTGTTAAGTCTCATTCTCGGCTTTATGTTAGGAATTAAGTTTTATGGTCAAGTTGTTAACCGCTGCACACTGTCATCCAGGAATTCAGATTCTTTTGATGGACCAAAGAACAGAACTATTAAAGGTGTCAAATACACCAAATCACCTCCCAGGGATGAAAATTTCACAGGGATCAGAAATGCATCACAGAGTAAGAGAAATCTGTCTAAACAGAAAGGTGAAAGCATTGAGCGAAATGATGATAGCGATAGCAATTCCTCTACCGCTGGTAAAATTGCTGACGAGAGTGGAGATAATTTTACCAGGAAATCAAACTCACCATTTAAATCATTGTCGCCATCTATTTCCGTTGATAAATTTTGAACAAAAAATTCATCCAAGAGAATGAGTGAAATTTTTATGAGAAGAGGTCAATTCAGAGAATGGCCATACTCGATAGGCTACCCGCATCGTATTGCTTCAAAGGTAATTCTTCGACCCCAATCAAGCGGCCATACACCGAAGGGTAGGAACATTTTACGAATGCTAGCCATGCCTTATCTTCATTTCAAATGTAAGTGTTTGTGACTAAGATTTATTATAAAGCTTCCTATTGCAAACTAGTTAAACTTGTACCTTAACTTTAAAGGAATTAGTAATGAATTTAACAAGACTAGACATGATAAGAGCATAGACAGCACATACAATTACAAACAGTTTCAGTGGATGTGTAGCCTGAAAATCAAAGGCGGAGATATTGTTTGAAGTGTTTTACATAAAATAAAATATATTAAAGGAGTCAGAAAATATGTTTTATCGGAGCATCTTCAGAGTGTGCTTACCGTACATTTGATTTGAACCTGATTTCCTTGGAATCTGAACCTTCCTAAAATGAAGTTAAATGTAAGAGAAGACTCTTCAATTTTATTCGGATTTTTTAGTGAAATATATTTAATCATAGAGTAACTTATTGGTTAAACTTTTGTATTTTTATCTCATCCATTCTATTGAGTAGAGTAGGCCTTAAACTTAATGCGAGAAAGTGCAATACACTTAGGACTGAGTTTGCTAGGAACAGGGAGAACATTGTGGTGAGTGTTGAAGAAGTGAAAGATTTGGAGGAGTTTGCGTATCTTAGAGCTACTGTACGCAACGAAGGTGGAGGCAGCTAAGATATTAGGAACAGCCCCTGAAATGCACCACGTGCCTTCGGCACGTGGTGCATTTCAGAGGCTATGGAAGGTGTGGGCAGCTAGTGGAGTGCTGCTGTACAGTTGTGAAACATGGAAGATCACACAGACCGATGAAAGAAAACTGAACAGTTTCCAATGGCAATGCCTAAGACGGAAACTGAGGATTAGATGGTTGCAAAGAATGACAAACAAGAGAGTAGTTGAATTGGCAGGGATCAATGAAATAAGCTGTGAGGTGCGAAGAAGAAGGTGGAACTCTGTAGGACACGTACTCAGGAGAGAGGGTGTGAACGACTGTTTTACCGCACTGGGGTGGACACCGGAAATTCTGGCCCTTTGTACCATACAATTATTCCTAGGCCCACCACAAGTGTTTGGTACGCCAATCTAGAATGGGTGAGCATTGAATTGGCCTAGTAATGAAATTAGTTGGAAGTTGTTTACCATGAAGGAAAACATCCCCACTAATTCGTATGGGTCAAGCAATATGCTTCCTTTTTCACACCGTCCCAATCTGTCACAATGGCAACAAAACATCTCCAACAGGCACCTTTTCAAGTGTTCAACCAGTGTGTGTTCAACACAAACAACAACGTGCCATCTGCAGATTCCTCACAAAGCCAAAGTCGGAGAAAAAGGCACATAATCATCGACTTGGACTCAGACTAGTCAATTGATATATTAAAAGAGTTTCTTCAAAAAGTTCAATGTGATGCTATCTTTAGTTTCTTGAGATAGCTGTAGTTACCTTACGAAACTTAAGACAACGCAATTTTGTGATCAATGTGTGGATTTTTCATTCCTTGGCTGTAACGCCTGGTTGATTACTTGATTGATTGACACTTGAACGGCGGAATGACTTCTTGTTACTAAGTAACCGTTTTGCTCGAGTGGTTTTCGTCTTTTTCTTAATTTCTCTTTTCATCTTTGTAACAAAAGCCGTTTTTAAACTTTGCATTTCGCCTCCTTCGAAGATTGTAATGATTGTGTTTTGGATGATCAATATCAAAAGCCCTTTCTCAAATAAATTTATTTGGTTTTTTTTTTTGGAAATCGTAACGGTTATGATTTATTTGTAATAGGACTACGTGTCGTCCAATTCGGCCTATAATCATACTCGTGATTAACAAATCGGACTCCCGCTTCGCGGTCGTCCGATTTTGTCAAGCACTCGTATGATTACAGACCGATTTGGACCCCACTCGGTCCTATTACTATTATTAATCGCCCATGAAATTCCGACATTGTAACATAATTAATTTACCAGCAAATATCCAGGAAGGTTACAGCAGCGGACTCGCGAATTCTCAAAAACTGCTCTTGAATTCGAAAACTGTAAGCAACAATTATTTTCGCTAACCATGTGCTTACCAGCGTCCTTGTGAGTTCAAATTGCCAGGACTCCGTCTCAATACATGATCACAGCTCGGACGCGAGGTTGATTCTCCAGTTTCTAGCATAAGGAAAAGATTAATGTATCACAAGCATGTTCATCATAACCAGAGCAATAAGTACGCCTCGAGATATTGTGCGAAGAGAAAGTGGCTCCATATTTTGTGAGACAAACCATTTCCTGAAGTTCAAACGAATCGAGTAGAAAGCATGAAAACATAGCGCCGAAAAGTACCATGACCGAACACTGAAATTCACTCCCCCCACAGTAGGACTAACTCCATTTTACCTGTAAGTTTGTAGTACCACACATTTGCGGTCCGTAATAATAATTAATTCTTAGATGTTTGATGGGTTCTCTCATGACAATATTGTCAAAATCAAATTACCGAGTCAGACTTATGTTAAGATGAGCTCGCTTACTCAATATCATTTTATTTCAATTTTCAGTAAGGCCATTACTTCATTCTTGGGGTAAAACCACACATCTTCGACCAAGGGTGATTTTTTAAGTCAATAAAGTAAACCCTGCGGTAGTTAATCAACTGAAGATAGAATGACAGACTTGCTCACGCCGTTCGCTATCATTTGAAACTTTCTAGGCAAAACTTGATCCCTGAAATAACTTCTTTTCCCTTAAAGCCGCGATTGTACTAAACATTCCAAACGATAGGAGAAAAATAACTTGAACAATACGAACACTTTGAAATGTTATTCCAGCGCGATTATTCCAACTTGCGCGAAGGTTTTAAAGCGGCCAATGCCAAAATTTTTACCGAAACGGGATTTGAATTATAAAGTGAAGCCACTATCAAACGACGATTGGTAAAAGGAGGTTTGAATTTTTCTGGGCCATAACATCTAGCTCTTTCTCGCGTTTTTTCTCGACTCACTCTACGCCTTTTACTTATTGCTCTCCTTGTTCGCCCTGTCTCTTTCTTTCCGGCCTATTTTCACTCGAATCTTTTTCCATGGCCTTAAATCTTTCTCCTTAAAACTCTTTCTACACGAACTTGACTTATGATCATGCTTTTCTCCGGTTCTCCGGTCGACAAAGCCTCTCCCGCTCAAAACACGTGTTGCAAATTACTTACTTGCGCGGCTAGTACACGTGAAGACTTCGTGTGCACTCTAGTGTTTCCAGGCCCACACTAATGGGTATCCAAGTTACGCACGCAACCGCGCCTGCACATTACCTTCTCTCTCACCCCTCCGTTATGTAATGGCTTAAATACTGCCTGTAATGCAGTTGGCAAGTAGCACACGTAAGTCTGAATTTTTTCGGCTTTATGAGTTACTATTACTATTATTTACTATAATTATGAGGCTACCCTACGCGCGCTTCTCGCGCTGTGAGCTCCGAAATTTTTGAACAACATCTGCCAAAAGCTTACTATTATGCTGACAATTACAGCTTTATCTTTCCTTTAAGTCCAAGGAGCCGTCAAGTCAACAAGATGCTATGACTAACTTGCAAAATTCCAACAAAATTGCATAAAAGACCGCCTATAGATGGAGCATGATAAACTTCTTGACGATGACGACACAGAGTTTCTTATTATATGGACGCAACAGCAATTGTCAGAGTTAATATCTCTTTGATCATTGTGGGAAGCTCTTGTAGAAAAATGGTCGGTTATTACAAACTTTTGTACTTTTCTTGATGAATAACTACCTATGAGAAGTATTATAAAAAAAGGCTGCAAGGTACCATCACGTGTGTTTGATATCACCAATCAGCTGCTGACACGTCACTCGCCTTTCGCGCCACTCTGTCAGTTTGATGAATGCAGAACACCAAAATACGAAAAGAAAAACCGAAATTTATGTATTCAGTGGCTATGGTCATGACAATTCTCGCAGCTGAGAACGAAAATCGACTGCTGGAAGATTTTCCACAGGCCGATTTTGTATCAGTTGGGTGTGTGCCTGAAAGATTTCTTCTGTCGGTAAGAACAAAGTCAATAACTGAGAATTTTGTACATTAAAAACTACGTCCATTGTTGTTTTAGTAAAGATTCGACGAATTTTTTTCGTCTTGAGCCTTAGCGCCAACGCACATTAAGATCTTTATTAGGGGATTATCGACCCTTTTTATCTTCATACGTTGATAACGTCAACTTTTCTCGTCAGTAAAGGTCTATCTTATTTCTATAATAAACCAAATAATACATGGTTGCTTGTAGATATGGAATTTCGCTTGTCGTGTTTAACTCGACGTGTCACTCGTGAGCTATGGAGTTGAGCACTCAAAAACAAATTCCATATCTACACGCGCCCATGTTTGCAAACTTCTGCTCTTTGATGTATTTCTGCTTCGTTTTATCTTAGTAAATGTAAATGTCCATCCGCTGGTGTATTTATATTTTTTGATCTTTAATGTACATGTGTACCAGAAAATGAATGTTTATATCAATACTAAGGAACAAACGAGCTTTTTAATTTTTGTAGTTTACTTGTTGCATTATTAATCCCTCCATTTTTAGCGGTTGTTTTTCTCTCGGTGTTAGTAGTGTGCTAAATAATTTCACTATTGGCTGAACTTCATGGATTTCATGTCTTTTCGTTTTCTGAAACTTGGTCGAATTTGACCATGGCAAACGATACCACTTTAATTCCTGGATATTTTCCTACTTCAAGAATAGATAGGGTTGGTGAACAGTGACGGTCTGAGTTTGAATTCTCTGATGGATTAGAACTACTGTGGGCTCAATGCAATTTTGACAGGTTTGTTTGTTGAGTTCATTATGTTTCATGTTTAGAGGTGAAAAGAAGTACGACACAGGGACATCAAAGTTAGTTTTACATCTTCCTAGAAAATGGAGAATTTGACCTCAAATTTATCACTATTTGATTTGATTTATCAATCTAAAAATGCTGTCCCTTAGTTGCCTCTTCTGATTGACAAGCTGTCAATCAAATTGACTTGCACCTACTCCTGTTTCTGAACCCTCGTAGTGATAGGTAAAATACATTTGTGGTGAGAGCTTCACACATTTTACCCATTTTAAAGCTATTGCTCTAGTGAAAACATTGCAAAATCAGTTGGTGCTCTATTCCCCCTGCCCCCCTGAAAATCCGAAATGAAATCTAGTCTTGGGGTAGACCCTTTAAAAAGTTCACTGCAATCGGTGTGATGGAATGTTGAACACCTGCTTGGTGTACTTATGGACTCACTCGTAACCACTTAAGTTGCATTGTCTCATCTGATCCAGCATGGTTGTCAACTGTTTCGATCTAATGAGCTGTCGAAACGATACTGCTAATCCCACTTGTTTCTGGAGCCTTACCCTTTCAAGTATGGCAAAGTGAAGTGTACCTTGTCCTAACATAACCACATGTGGCCCTTCAACCTCTAATAAGTTAACTAAAACCTCCAAACTATCATTACCTCTTTTTCTTACTTCCATGGTCTGAGCAGTGTGGTATTATTAATTGTCTTGTCTGCCTCTTCTTCTTTTGAGGCAGGTACACCCCATCTGGCAGTGAAGTGTTGAATGATTTAGAAGGTACAAATCAAAGAGCATCTTTCAAACAGAGTTGACTGGAGTAGATCAGCCTAGGTATTGAAGAACCTACTTGACCAACCAGTATTTAAAACAGTTTTATTCCACTTGCAATGTTGTAGATGTTAGATTTATTGAATTCGTTGCATGCGCAAATATATAATCGAATAATTTTAATTTAAATTTAAATCTATAAACCATGCATGTCAAATAGCAACTGGAGAAGAAGACTATAAGCCAGTTGATGTTCAGCCCCAATAAAAATAAATATTAAAAAAGGTAACAAGTTCTTGAAAATAGGATTACTTTGATAAGAAATAGGTTAAAAATGTACGGCTCTCTCATTTCCAGTGACACTTGCGTCATCAACTTACACCCTGCAGTTTGGAGGATTATGAGTAAGACGTTTTTAAGCCATGAAAGCTGAAAGGTGTAAAAGCCTGCGTTTAAAATTGTGAAGTGAATTCACACTAAGGTATCACTCCAGTTGACAGACTCACCTCTGACAAGATGTCTACCTGTTTCGCATGATACTCTGATTCAACGAACGCGTTGATGGCCGGGAGCAGTTTCAAAAATAATATTCATGAAAAATTAATCATTACAGAATCAGAAAATATAACGGCTAAGGGGAGGGGGGGAAGGGAATAAAGTAACCTGCAGTTATGATACTAACCTGGATATCAGTAATGAAGAAGTCATAAGGGATGTGTTCCTTCTCCAGTTCAAATTCCACGTTCTTCGGGTCGATGTGTCGTAATTTCTGGCGCAATCTCAGGGCCATACTGGCTGGATGAATATTCTTCGGCAAAACAGAGCGTGGTAAATCTAAAAAAACTTCTAATAGGGCCTCATAAGCTTTATAAATGCTATATTTAACAGCTCTCTTTCTGCCTCCTTCCGCATTTGCGACTCAATGTTGGCTGTTGTGGTTTGTTTCTGAATTTACGGGTTGGCTCGAGAACAGACACTTCACTGGTCACGAACCACTCTGCGGACTAGACTTCTAGCTGCTTCAGACTGTGAGCTGGATTGAGGCTTTTTGCAGCGATGAGAGAGCTCCTCCTGACTCGTATACAGTTGACTGGTGGCGGCAGCTCTCACCTTGAAAATAAAT